TAAATATATTATAAATATTTGAATATTTGGGTATACAACTGCACAATATCTTTTCAGCAAGAAAAACACTGAAGAGTAAAGACTAGACACAATTACTAGGTACAGTGAAAATCTGCTCCAGCTATTTCTGAGGTAAGAAGACACCACATACCTGTTCAACTAAGAAAGGCACCCTTACAACTCAGGATGATTTTATTTTTACATAGGACCTAGAATGCTTAAGCTGCCAATTAGGTACTGAATGGCAATTTGTAGGGAATATGTTCCAACAACTCAGGTTCCTTTCCATTGGTCCTCACAAAGTGTGCCAGCAGGGAAATTTAAAGAGAGGGAGAAAAAGCATACAGCAGCACATGGGACAGTGGGATTGAGCTTCAAACCTTGATAACTTTGTTCCATTACAAAGATGATTGTGGCCTGCAATCCTCAAAGGGGTCACTGGGTCTGTGCTTTCACTCATGACAGAGCATTCCAAGAAGGTAAAGAGCCACAGCACAGGAATGAGTGAAGACATGGACATAACTGTAGAAAATGTGTTTTCCACTCCTATTGGGCTGGGAGGAGGAGGAGAAGCCCCTTCTCTGAAGACTTGGGGTCTCAGTGAAATCATCAAGGTGAGACCAGAGTGTCTTGGGAAAAAGCTGTGCTGATACATCTAAATAATGAGAAATATACACAGAAGAGAATTACCTCACTGCTTTATAGAAGTTTCTTGTGAAAAATAACAGGAAGAAAATGGAATTTTTTAAAAAGCAAACTCATGTAAAAGTAATAAGCCTTAGTAACAATCAACAAACTGCAGTTTGAAACATTCATAAAAATACTTTTCCATCTGCTATTACAGTGTGAGGGAGGAAGGCAGCATTATAGCCAAGTGTTTAAGAGCACTGTGGCAGTATACAGCATCTGAATTTGATTCCAAGTACTATCACTTGGCTGCTGTGAGACCTCGGACATGGCTTTTAAATTTTCTGAACCTTAGCTTCTTCATCTGCAAAAGGTGGTAACTAACTAATGGTAGTTACTCCAGAGTTATATATATATATCCCTTCAACTAGTGCTTGGTATATGGTAAGTGCTTTGTAAATGGAAGATAATAGTATGAATATTAGATCTTGACGAGGACAGTACAATGTTTATGACATTTAACCAGGCATGGTGGCAGTGTACTTATAAGCTCTGTTACTTGGGAGTCTGAAAGACACTAAAGCAGAAGGATGAGGAGTTTGAGGCCAGCATGGGCAACACAGCAAGACGCTTAACTGGATGTGATGATGCATGCCCTTAATTCCAACATTCATGAGGCTGAGTCAGGTGGATCACTGTGACTTCAAGGCCAGCCAGGGCTCCACAGGGAGCTCAAAGCTGGTGTGAATTACCGAATGAGACCCTGTCTCAAAAAACCTTTAAAATAGAAAACAAAACAAAACAAGCCAGCGAGACTCATTTCAGTAAAAAAATAAAAATAAAGTTTATGACATTGGAGGAGGAACTACAAATCACATGAACTGAAAGCAGTTTGACAAAATTAAGTGCTGAAAGGGCTCATGCTTTACCTGCCTGCTTTGGAAATTCATGTTAAGGAAAGAATCTCACTTAATGAAAAAGCTATATTCATGAAAATGCTGTTGTACCATTATATGTTAACAGCAAAATTCCTCAAATACTTAGAAAAGTATTTAGTGGTTAAACTGTAATCTACTTAATGAAATCTCATGTGACAACGCAAAAGGTAATTATGATCCCTACATGATCATATGGAAGTAATTACAGAAAAATAATAAAACTATATTTTACAATTATGTAAAATGTTTTATTTTGGCATAAAATACAAAGAAATGTATGTTTGTATTACTATGGTCACTATGGTGGGAGAGGTAAGGATGTATTCCTTCACTTCCATATCTATCTATCTATCTATCTATCTATCTATCTATCTATCTATCTCTATTATGTATCAAGCAATAAGTATATATCTGTCTCTGTACCCTGTGCTTCAGATACATTATCTCAGAGTACAGCTGCTTTTGGTTAGATACTACTCTGCCTTTTAAATAAAGAAAAAAAGTGTAACTTGGAGAAAATGCCTGTAGTTATGTGATTTAGACAAGAATTTGGGTCTAAATTTATCTGACTCTCAAGCCCATGTTAACTCATATTCCATACAGCTTTACTAAATGATTTCTGAAAAAATATTGAGGAAGAACAGAAACAAAGATAGAGTCTCCTACAATTTTGTTTAATTTGATTCTTAAAGTAGCAGCATTACTGGAGACAAAATAGAAATAAAATTATAGGAAAACAGATTTAGAAAGAAAACTATTGTGCTTAGAATGATTCAGAATTTATATATTAAAATTCTTTCTTTAATATCTAGGGTTTGCTTTCCCAAACATGTTTACCTTAAGACTATTGTTTAGTACGTGTTGAATAAAAAACTAAGGCAGTATTTTAAATCACAAACTGGTTATCTCAGGAAAGTGTATGTGAGAATTCATTAAATGTTTGAGATGTCAGAGGGATTTCAGAGTGATGTAAAAGATCTTTGAAGGACAACAATACAGGTAAACTGTCAGGCAGGTGGCCAGCGATAACCTTTTCACCCTGTGCTTTTGTTGAGTCTAGTTGAAATTATTATAGTTAATAAATAGGATATGACTTAGGAATCCCATTCCAATTTCTTGCTATAATCTTGTTCTCACACAGAAGTTCCACTGTAGTTTATTTAACAGTAGTTAGGGGCCTGGGACCCAGAGGATTCCAGGGAGATTATAGCTTA